TCTCAGAGATTCGATGCGTCCTGCCCGGTGTTATCCGCGCCCTGGTTTTGCTTTGTCTTGACACTCTGGAGAGAGGTGGGGCAGCTCTGGGGCGTTTTGGTCATGTCGTGCTGACCTCGAGTAGCGTAGAAATCCATCAAGCTAGTTCTGATTGCGTCAGCAGCAGGAGGCGGGGGGTAGAGGGAGGAAGAGGAGGGAGAGGGGGGAAGAGGAGGAGGAGGAGGAGGAGGAGAAGGAGGAGGAGTGGGCTGAGGAGGCAAAACAGAAAAAGCATCGTACTCACAATAGATGAAGGAGAGGAAGTGAAGATTCATTGAAAAACGACCCAGAAGAAGACGAAGAAGAAAAAGGAGGAGATACATAAGCCCATCCCGCCACCTGGCCTGGGTTGTGGGTATGAAGCCTATTGGATGTTCGTTGGGGATCTCGTGGGCAGCGGGGCCTCTTGGGGCCTCCGTGTGGAGGCCTCTTGGGGCCCCTTCCTGGGGGCCTCTTGGGGGCCTCGTGGGGGAGATGCGCATGTATAATGAGGCCTCGCGGGGGGCCGCCTGGGGCCTCCTTGTCGAGGCCTCCTGGGGCCTCTTCTTGGGGGCCTCGTTGGGGGAGATGCACATTGCACGATGGCTGCGACAAAGCTGGTGGTGGTGGTGGTGGTGTTAAGTCGGGCGTGTCCCTCTACAGGGGGGATATTCAAACATACGATAAAAATAGTCAGGAGGGGATGTGTTTTACTATGTTTGAGTATGTTGGGTGTTTTTGTTTAGTATTTTCCATTGTTCGCCCAAAATCCCCCTGTAAGGGGGACACGCCCGACTTGATAGTGGTGCTGCAGCAGACCGGGAGAAGAGGAGGGGGAGGGCCCGTGGCGAGGAGGGAGGAGGGCCACGAGCCGCGGGCGGGGGGAGCGATACCCACCAGGGGGGCTTGCGGGGTGAAGGGGAGGGAGGAGGAGGGAGGAGGAGGAGGAGGAGGAGAGGAGGAGGAGGAGGAGGAGGGGAGGAGGAGGAGGAGGAGGAGGGGAGGAGGAGGAGGAGGAGGAGGAGGGGAGGAGGAGGAGGAGGAGGAGGAGGAGGAGGAGGAGGAGGAGGAGGAGGAGGGGAGGAGGAGGAGGAGGAGGAGGAGGAGGAGGGACGGGGGGGAAAGGGGGGGGTAGGAGCAGGGGGAGGAGGAGGAGGAGGAGGAGGAGGAGGAGGAGGAGGAGGAGCAGGAGGACAGGAGGGAGTGAGGAGGGTAAGGTTCGCGAAGGGGAGTCGACTAAAGAATCGATGCACCCCAAACTTGAGTTGTTCGTCTACTCTGCGACGGATGCGTAGAATGCTCCGTGCCGAGATCACGGACCGCGAGCAGAGAAAGGAAGAATGATGAGAAGAAGGTTCGAATAGGGAATCGATTACAGAATCAATGTACACCATACTTGTGTTCGTCCAGTCTACGAAAAAAACGTGGAATGCTCTTTAGATCTCCGGAGCGGCGCATTCTTGCAGATTCGACGAGAAAAACACTTCTGGGGTGAATCAATTATGTAGTCGATCCCCTACTCCGAAGGTGGAGTGGGTCGCGCATGCGGCCTCAGAGCGAGAAGCTGCAGACCACAGCAGGGCTTGAAACAAAGCCGTAAAGCCCCGCCCTCGAGGATCGAGGATCCGCCCGCGGATGCAAGACGAGGACCCCGCAGCACGAGAGGGCGGGGAGGGATCCCGAGGAACGAGGACCACAAGGAGAGGGCGGGGGTGAGGAGGAGGAGGAGGAGGAGGAGGAGGAGGAGGAGGAGGAGGTAGGAGGAGGAGGATGAGGGTGGGTGGGATGGAGGACGTCGAGGAGGAGGTGGGGGCGGAGGGCGGAGGCGGAGGCGGAGGAGGAGGAGGAGGAGCAGAGCGGAGGAGGAAAGGAGAAGGAGAAGGAGGACGTCGAGGAGGACATCGAGGAGGACGTCGATGAGGAGGAGGCGGAGGAGGAGGAGGAGGAGGAGGGGGGTGGGAAGGGGGGGGGAGGAGGAGGAAGTCGAGGAGGAGTCGATGAGAAGGGGGAGGAGGGAGGAGGAGGAGGGTGGGTGGGAAAGGAGGACGTCGAGGAGGGGTGGGAGGCGAGGCGGCGGCGGAGGCGGAGGAGGAGGAGGAGGAGCAGGAGGAGGAGGAGGAGGAGGACGTCGAGGAGGACATCGGGAGGCGTTCGAGGAGGGGAGGAGGAGGAGGAGGAGGAGGAGGGGAGGAGGAGGGGAAAGAGGAGCGGGAGGAGGAGGACGTCGAGGAGGAAGTCGAGGAGGAGCAGCAGGAGCAGGAGGAGGAGGAGGAGGAGGAAGAGGAGGAGGAGGAGGAGGAGGAGGAGGAGGAGGAGGGCGGGGGCCCGCCGCCCCGGGCCGAGCTCACGAACCACGAGCAGATGAGCCAGGACTTCGCCGCCGAGCGCGACCTGCGCCTGCGGGCGCGCCCCACCCACCCTTCGCCCCCAGGGGGGGACGCCTGCGCGCCTGCGCGCCGGGCGCGTGCGGGCGGCGCTGGGCGGCCGCCGTCGTCCCACGGGGGATTCTCCGGTCGAGCCGCCGCGTCGGGCGCCCGAGGCCGTTCCGCGTGCCCGGGGGCCAGCTGCCAGCCCTGCCACCTGGGGTGAGCGAGAGGCGGGAGGCCGAGCCCGAGAGGCGTGAAGGGGTGTGGCCTCGGGGGCGCGCGAGCTTGTTGCATGCTGCGAAGGATGGTGGCCTCGGGAGTGCGACTCCGCAGCGTGTTGCGAAGGGCTGTGTCCTCGGGAGAGGGGGCGATGAGCGCGGGGCAGTGGTGGGCGAGGGGAGGGGGGCCTGGAAGGCTACAGAAGCCGCGTCAGAGAGACTTGGCATTCTAGCACGCCTCAGCGTGCCTCTGCGGCAGGGTCTCAACCCCGAGAGGGGGCCCTCTAGCTCTAGCCTTACGTCGGGCGTGTCCCCTTGCAGGGGGAGTTTCGACAAAGACTAAAACATACCCCCGAAAATACCCCAAAAAGGTCACAACATACTCAAAAAATAGTCCCCAGACTAGTTTTGACTATTTTTTGATTTCTTTGCGGGTATTTTTTATTTTTTGTCGGAAATCCCCCTGTAGGGGGACAGGCCCGACTTAACTTTAGCCCTCCTGTCAGGGTGGAGAAATGGTAGAATTCATTGGAAACTCCTCCGTGCCGAGATCCCCGACGTTTGCTGAAAATCGGGGGTCTCAACATCGGGTGCTATGGTATTTGTTGTCCCGAGGCCTCGCCTCCCCATCCGCCCTGAGTGGCGCGGGTGTACATGAGATCCAAGGTCTGCTTGCTCCGAGGCGGACGTTTGTTGGTTTCCAGGCTCACCCCGCCCCCCCTCCTCCTGATTATTTTCAGGAGGGAACAATTAATCCTCGTTACCCCAGAAAATATGGGAAAATATGGGAAGTGGGGGGAAGACAGAAGCCCAGAAAATATATGAAAATATGGGGAATAGTTTTATTTGTGTGTATTTATTTGTGTGTCCTGGGGCCCCTTCATATTTTCATCGCTTCGCTCACTCCGCCAGGCGATGGTGCATCGCCGATGCCGTTTGTCGAGGTGTGCCTCTTGGGGCTCTCTTGGGAGGCCCCTTGGTGATGGGAAGATGTTGCAGGCCATGCCAGCGGCGACGCCCGCATCTCCCTACCTCCAACTCACTGTGCGCTGCCCTTGAGGCGCAGGCGTCTCTGGGGGGGGCATCCCGGCTCCTAGTGTGGGCTCTGTCCCCCGGGGGGTGGGTACATACACAGAGGCTCTCAGGCACACTCCTCCGTTCCACAGGTGACCTCTTCGGTGGCCTTGTACGCGCCGTGGGCTGTCTGGAAGCCATCGTGAGCGTCTCGGACCGATCGTTCGACGAGTGCCACTTGGACCGCTGCCAATTGCCCGAGTGATCGTTGTCAATGCGGCGGTGCTGGGTGGGGTTGTTAATTATCAAGACGCCTACGGCGAATCACCGCCGCCCCCTGCCCTTTCGGAAGCGCCGATGCGGCCGACTGCTGTGGCCAGAGGTCTGCCAAGTTATTGGGCCATATGTTCCCCGAATCGGTCTTTACAGCCTTCGGGGAACACGTGGGGGAGGACGGGGAGGAGAGGAGAGATAGGAAGGGGGGGAATGGAGGAGGAGGTCTCTTGAGTGCCTTTTTGGCTACTCTGGGTTTATATTGGGCCACATGTGCGGTCTTGGAAGCATCTTGGGGGCCTCTTTGGATGCCTTGCGGCCTTCCTGTTCTGCCTGACGCCGTCTGGGCTGGGTTGGGGGCCTCTCTGTGGCCATCTTGGGCCATCTTGAGGCCATCTTGGGCGTCTTGGAGGCCATCTTGGGCGTCTTGGAGGCCTCTTGGAGGCCATCTTGGGCCATCTTGGCCGTCTTGGAGGCCATCTTGGGCGTCTTGGAGGCCCTTGGGCCCCCAAGAAGGCCCTCTTGGGGCCTTCTTGGGGGCCTCTCGGGCCGTCATGGGGCCATCTTGGAGGCCTCTTGGGTGCTGTTGGGGCGATGTTGGGGACCATCTTGAGGCCATCTTGGACCGTCTTGGGTGCATCTGAGAGCCATCTTACCCGTCTTGGAGGCCATCTTGGCCGTCTTGGAGGCATCTTGGAGGCCATCTTGGGCCATCTTGGCCGTCTTGGAGGCCATCTTGGGCGTCTTGGAGGCCGCTTGGGCCGTCTTGAGGCCCTCTTGGGGCCTTCTTGGGGGCCTCTTGCGCCGTCATGGGGCCATCTTGGAGGCCTCTTGGGTGCTGTTTGGGGCGATGTTGGGGACCTCTTGGGCCGTCGGAGAGCTGAAAAGAAGAACATGCCAAAATCCTTGGAAAAACCTAAGGAAAATCAATGATTTTAACCTATTCGGGCCTTCCTGGAGGGCGTCTTGGAGGGCTCTTGGGCCGTCTTGGAGGCCTTTTGCGGGCCTTTTGGGCCGTCTTAGACCATCTTGAGGCCATCTTGGGCCGTCTTGGGTGCATCTTGGAGCCATCTTACCCGTCTTGGAGGCCATCTTGGCCGTCTTGGAAGCATCTTGGAGGCCATCTTGGGCCATCTTGGCCGTCTTGGAGGCCATCTTGGGCCAAGTTGGGGCAACAAAGGCATTGACAGATGGATTTTCGGAAACTTGCGGGTGGCCGGCGGGACGGGCCGAAGCCCACTGGGGAGTTCTTTTAGAAAAAGAACCAAAACCAAAACCTGAAACATCCAGCACGCCGTGCACCCCTGTGGCAAGACCACAGGGGGCGGCGGATCGATGGGCCTTCGGCCCATCCGGCCACCGTGCCTGGGGGGTGGGCCGAAGGCATCATGGGTGTTGGTTGGGCTCTCGCGGTTGGCTTCTCGGGGCAAAGAGGGAGGCAATGTTGAAGCCCCTTGGGGGCCGCGTGCGGGCCTCTTGGGTTGAGAGCCTCTTGAGGGACTCTTGGGGCTTCTTGAGGTGCCTTTTGTGGGGCCCCTTACGGGCCCCCTGGCGCCTCTTGGGGGCTTCTTGGGAGGTCCTGGGGAATTCTTCGGGGCCGAAGGCTGAACTTTTCGGTTCATGGTCCCCTTCTTGGGCCCCTCTTGGGGGCGGTCTGGGGCCCTCTTAGGCCGTCTTGGGCGCCTCTTGGTGCCCGCTTGGGCCGTCATGGGGCCCTCTTGGATTCCCTTGGGCACATCTTGGGGGCGTCTTGGGCCGTCTGGGGACGGTTTCGGAGGCATTTGGGGCAGCCCCAGGAGCCGCCACGCGCGCGCGCGAATTAGAAATACGGTTAACTTGGAGATTGTAGCACTTTTGTGGCGCGTTGGGCAGGCGAATCCCCGCGGGGGTCCATGAAATCCAAGGTCTGGACGTCTGTTGGTTTCCCGGATCCCCCCGCCCCCCTCCTCCTGATTAGTCCCCCCGTTTGGCGGCGGAGCGCAGTCTTTACGCATTCTAGAAGAGTGCTGCCGCGTTTAACCAACGCTCTGCACCGCCCCTCCTCAATCCACGTTCACCACCTCCTCCTCTTCCTCCTCCTCCCCCTCCTCCTCCTCCTCGTCTTCCTCCTCCTCCCTCCTCCTCCTCCTCCTCCTTCCTCCTCCTCCCCCCCCTCCTCCTCGATTCCTCCTCCTCCACCATCTCCTCCTCCTCCTCCTCCTCCCCCTCCTCCTCCTCCTCGTCCTCCTCCTCCTCCTCCTAATCCTCCTCCTCTTCCTCTTCTCCTCCTCCTCCTCCTCCTCCTCCTCCTCCTCCTCCTCCTCCCCATTCCTCACCTTCCTTTTCCCGTTTCCTCTTCCTCCCCCCCCTTTCTTCTGTGTTTTCTTCCTCCTCATCACCATCATCATCATCATCATCATCAGCAGCATCATCATCATCAGCATCAGCATCATCGTCGTCGTCATCATCAGCAGCAGCATCATCAGCAGCATCATCAGCATCATCATCAGCATCATCATCCTCATCCTCATCCTCATCCTTTTCATTATCCTCCTCCTCCTCCTCATCATCAGCAGCAGCATGATCATCATCCGCATCCTCCGCATCCTCCGCCTCTCCTCATCCGCCTCATCCTCCTCCTCGTCATCCTTGGCCTCCTCCTCCTCCTCCTCCTCCTCCGCCTAATCATGCTCCTCCGCCTCCTCATCCTCCTCATCCTCCGCCTCCTCCTCCTCCTAATCCTCCTCCTCTTCCTCCTCCTCCTGCTCCTTGTCCTTCTCCTCCTCCGCCGCCTCCTCCTCCTCTTCCTCCTCCTCCTCGTCCTCCTCCTCCGCCTCCTCCTCCTCCTGCTCCTCCTCCTCCTCCGCCTCCTCCGAGCCTGACTCCGCATCCTCTGCATCCTTCGCATCCTCGTCCTCCCCAGCCTCCTCGGCCTCCTCTTCCTCCTCCTCCTCATCATCAGCATCATCATCATCAGCATCATCATCGTCCTCGTCCTCATCCGCATCCGCATCCGCATCATCATCCACCTCCTCCTCCTCCTCAACTTGCTCCTCCTCCTCCTCCGCCTCCGCCTCCGCCTCCTCCTCCTCCGCATCCTCCGCATCCTCCGCATCCTCGGCCTCCTCGGCCGCCTCCTCCTCATCCTCGGCCTCCGCCTCCTCCTCCTCCGCCTCTGCCTCCTCCTCCTCCTCCTCCGCCTCCTCCTCCTCCTGACATGTTTGGCGTCGCTGCCAGGAGCGCCTCTGCCGCTTTGGGGGGGGCTGGCTCCCTCGCCATCCTGCGTGATGGTGCGCTCGCAGGTGCTCTGGGGCACGCCCAGCCAAGCGCCGCGGGCACTGGTCGTTGCAGCGTGGCTGCTTCTCTCGCGGCTCGCGCAACGGGTGGCAGCGCTGACGGGGATCGGTCAGCCCCTTCTGGCTGACCCAGGTTTAGGAGCCCCGCGGGCGACGGAAGAAAACGGGGCCGATTGCGCCGACACTCGCGCGTAAGGTCTCGCGCAAACGCCCTCTTCTCCACGCTGGCGGCCCGCGTAAGCCGCGGCGTGGAGTGGCCATGTCATCTTGCGCGAGACCATGGGGCCGCTTCTCCCTTCCCTGCCATTCGCCGACCCGGGCTTGGGAGCTGCTGAGCGGCCGCATGGGCTTCACGGCGGGGGCCTGGCCGAGGCAGCCGCGGTCGGCTCGCGTCGTGGACCGACGGGCAGAGACCCGACCGAGGGCCCGTGCCGCTCGTCGCCGAGGTCACAGAGCGGGGCGCGCGCCCCCGAGACCCCGCGGGGGGGGGGGGGGCGACGCGTGCCGCAGGGGCCCGACCGCCCGGGCCGCGCGTCGACGCGGCGGCGACCCGGAGGTGGGCGTTTGGCGGTCGCGGCCTCGCGCGCAGCGTCGAGGAAGAGTAGCACATACGCGCGCACACACACATATCTATATATATATATATATATATACATACATTTGCACATACACTTGCATGCACACACACACGCATAGACACAGACACATTATCTCTCTCTCTCACACACTTACACGTACACACACACACACACACACACACACACACACACACACGTGCACACATACACACATCCGTTGCTTTTTTTGCTCAGGCTTGCGTTCAAGGTTGAACGCCGCCGCGATGGCCCGACATCGGCCATCATGCAAAGATCTGGTTATAGAAAAGCCGCCGAGTGCTCAGGCTTGAACGGTCCGCGCGGCGTCAAGAACCAACGCCAGAGTCGTCACGCCACGAACCTACCGTGGTGCATGCGTCTTCGTCCTGCTCGTCTTAGGTCGGGCATGTCCATCTACAGAAGGAATATTCTAGAATAGCCATACAATAGTCTGGGGACGATGGTGCGGTTCACGAGCGCCATTATCGCAGGAGAGAGGAGGGTCCAGAGCCCCGTCAACCTGGTCATTGCAAGCCATGACGTTGCCAGATGCAAAGGGAGAAGACAGATATTGGAGAGTATCTCTCTCGCAGCTATCGTTTTCTTGGGTGCGCCAACGCCCTGATATTGTCAGAAGCCCCCGTGTGAGCGGCCCTGTCATGTCGAGGACGCGCAGACATGGACCGACGCGCGGATTCGCGACGGGCCCCGAGTCCATACCACGTCGACGCGGTGCGTCGCTAAGTCCGGCGGCACTGGCTGCAAGTTTCAGGGGGTCCTCTCCCCACATCCGTAGAGCAGGAGGGAAACAACACACAGACACAATTAACCGTCGATTCCCCAGAAAAGATGGGAACATACAGTCGGGGCCCTGAAGAAGGAACCCTTTTCGTTGGGGAGTGGCTCCGTGTTCCTTGATTGTTTCACAGCTTGCCTCAGGTTGTCCTGGTGTTTTCGATGGGAGATCGAAGTTTAACTTACGAAAAAAGGGGCCTCGTTCCTGATTTGGGGTTCCTTGGGTCAACGCCCCGACGGTATGGGAAGTGGAGGGGAAGACAAAAGCCCAGACTATTTCTTTTGGGTGCCCCAGGGCCCCCTTTCGTAGGTCTGGCGCCCCCGCGCCCGGTCCCCGGAGGCCTAAAATGGGAAGTCGAAGTTTAGCTTACGAAAAAAGGGGCCCCGTTCCTTATTTGGGGTTCCTTAGGTCAACGCCTGGACTGTATGGGAAGTGGAGGGGAAGACAAAAGCCCAGACTATTTCTTTTGGGTGCCCCAGGGCCCCCTTCCGTAGGTCTGGCGCCCCCGCGCCCGGTCCCCGGAGGCCTAAAATCTCCACGCCGCCGCGCGCGACGGGCCACGGGCGCGGAGCACGGGCGCCGCCCGTCGCAGGGAGGAGGAGGAGGAGGGCAAGAGTCAGGAGGGACAAAAACACACAGACACAATGAATCCTCGTTCCCCCAGAAAATATGGGAAAATGTGGGAAGGGGGGGGGGAAGACAGAAACCCAGAACATGTGGGCAAAGATGGGGGATCTTTTTTTATTTGTGTGTATTGATGTGTGTGTCCCGGGGCCCCTTCAAAGAGGGACTCCCTCGGACGGGGCTGGGACGAGGATAAATCCGCTCCAGGACATTCTAGAACGCCCTCAGAGCGCTCCAGAACGCTCTTCTCGGAGCGTTCCGGGGCGCTCTGAGGAGACCGCGGCGCCCGTGACATCTCCTCTCCAGAGCCGCTGGACCTCAGAGATGCTCGATCTATCCTCACCCGACTTGGTCCTCGGCCTGGCTTCGTCGTCTCAAGAGTCTGGAGCAAGGTGGGGCAGCTTTGGGGCGTGTTGCTGATGTCGTGCTGACCTCGAGCAGCGTAAAAGTCCATTCAAGCTATTTCTGATTGTCGGAGCGTCAGCAGCAGGGGGGCGGAGGGCGGAGGCTAGGGGGAGGAAGAGGAGGGAGAGGGGAGGAGGGGGAGGAAGGAGGAGGAGCAGGAGAAGGAGGAGGAAGAGGAGAAGAGAGAGGAGAAGAGAGAGGAGGAGGAGCAGGAGAAGGAGGAGGAGGAGGAGGAGAAGATCTTCGACGGCTTCATCCTCAACCGACTTTGTCCTCGTCTGGGCGTCGTCTTGCTCCCTGGAGGGGTGCGCCGGGGTGCACGCGCGGCCCCCCGGCGCAACGCTGCAGGGGGACGCGAAGTTCGCAGGCCTCTGCAACCACACGCAGGAGACGGGAGGGGCCGCGACGTGCGGCGGCGCGGGGAGGAGGAGGAGGAGGAGGAGGGGAGGGGAGGAGGAGGAGGGAGGGGGATGAGGAGGAGGAGTGAGGAGGAGGAGGAGGAGAGGAGGAGGAGGAGGAGGAGAGGAGGAGGAGGAGGAGGAGGAGGAGGGGAGAGGAGGAGGAGGAGGAGAGGAGGAGGAGGGAGGGAGGAGGAGGAGGAGGAGGAGGAGGGAGGAGGAGGAGGAGAGGAAGGAGGAGGAGGAGGGGGAGGGCGGAGGGGAGGAGGAGGCGGAGGCGGAGGAGGAGGAGGGGGAGGGCGGAGGGCAGGAGGAGACAGAGGCGGAGGAGGAGGAGGAGGAGGAGGAGGAAGAGGAGGAGGAGGAGGCGGAGGAGGAGGAGGAGGAGGAGGCCCCTGGGGCCGTCTGGGCCTCGTCAGAGGTGCCCTGGAGGCCGTGCGGGCTGTTTTTTGGAAATCGCGAGGGCACCTTGGTCCAGGGCACTTCTTAGCAGCAACCGAAGAGAGCATTCACAGCGTGTCAGCACAAGGCAACGCCAAGGTCAAACTCCGATGAGCATAACAGCTTCGCGCCATGCGTATACAATTCCGCGAGTCCCTTGAGGTTTCTTGGAGCCGTTCGGGGGCCTATTGCAAGCTGCTTTGGGGGCCCTGGAGGCCTCTTCCAAGGCCTTGTTGGGCTCCCTTGGGACCTCGTGGGGGCCTCTTGGGCCATCTTGGGGCGCCCTTGTGCCGTTTGGCCCCTTTTTCGGAGGCCGTCTTAGGGGCCTCTCGATGCCGCCTCGTGTCTGTCTTGGGGTCCTCTTGGGCCGTCACGGGGGCGTCTTAAGCCGTCTTTGGGGCATGTCTGGGCCATCTTGGCGCCCTCTTGGGCCATCTGGGGGCCATATTGGAGGCTGCGTGGGGCGTCCTGGGTTTTCACAAGGCGAAGACCGCAAAATCGCCCGAAAGCCGCTGGACGACATTTACTCCAGTCACCCTGTGGTGTTGGGCCCTCGTTTTGAAGAGACAGCGCCCCGCGTCACTCACTCCTTCCTCCTCCCCCTCCTCCCTCATCCCATCCCTGCCTTTGCCCTCCGTTTGTCAACCAGCTCGGCACACCATTTACACTTTGCGTGGCCTTTTAGGGAGCTCCACCAGTGGTCCAAGCGGTGCAGTCCGCATGCGTCCCCCGCACTTATGTCCGCGCACCCCATCACGCTTCGTGGCCCGACGGGGAGCTCCACCGAAGGCCCCGACGACAGGGTCCGCATGGCGTACCCGCACCAGATTCAGCGCACCCCCCACGCATCGCAGCCCCAGATGGAGTTGCACAGAAGGCCTCTGCGGCAGGGTCCGCATGGCGCACCCGCGCCCGATCCAACGCACCGCTCGCACGCTTCGCGGCCCCACAGGGAGCTCCACCGGAGGCCCCAGCAGGAGGGTCAGCACGGCGTCTCCTCCCCCCTCCCCCCCCTCAAGGGCGGTCGTCGCCTCGCCGCAGCGCCCCACAACCCGACCCACCCAGTCGCGCGCGACGGCGTTCGATGTCGAGGTCGGGGGCGCGGAGGGACTCGGAGAAGGAAGGGATGGCGATGCCGAGGCCCGTCCCTCGTCGCCCCGGCGCTCAGACGCCGCCACGAAGTCCAGGTCGGGACGCACGGGGAGTAATGGTGTCGGTATACGCGTTCCCACCCCCCCAGGAACATGTTCTGCATTCCCAGATGTTGTCCAGCCAAGGAGGTGAAACACCGTGTTCCATAAACAGGGTCGTGCCAGCCATCGGAGGAGGTGGGGCGTGTGTTTTTGTCCGAGCTCCTAAAGATGCCCTCGTGGCCACGGCGGGGCGCAGCTCGAAACACATGTTAGGATGGGGCTTGGGACATGTCCAGGACAGGCCGATAGCGATTGCGCTACAGCGATCGTGGCAAGGACGGAAGATAAGGAAGCGGAGAAGGAGGGTTCCTTACAGTGGCGTTCATTTGGGTCCCCTGGTTATGTCTCCGTACAGTACCGTTCTTCGGGGTCGCTTGACTTGGCTCGGGGTGTCTTGGTTCCTTGGTGTTGGCTCCTCGCTGCCTTCCTCGCGTTCCTCGTTCTTGGCGCTTGGTCTTGGTTTCCTGGTCTGTGTTCCGTTGTTCCGCTGTTCCTGAGTACTGGCAATGTGTTGCCACGCAATGCGCCCGTGCAACAGGCGGTTGTCCCCCAGTTGGGGTCGCGCCGGCTTCATTTGTCATTACGATCTGGTTTGTTCACGACGCCGGATCTCGGGAGCGGAGGGGCCAGGAGGCCCAAGAGGCGCCCAGTTGCCCCCAAGAGACGCCTAAGGCCTGTCCAGGAGAGGATCCGGAGGCCCCCAAGAGGCCACCAGGTGATTTTTGATCAGGCGTGGGCGATAAATCTTCGACGAGGGGTAGGGGGAGGTGCGATCCCCTTCCCGAAGGGGAAGAAGGGGTTGGAAGACAGAGTTCGTTGAACCACCTATGTACGCCCAGAAGGATGGATGGTGGAGATAAGCAGATAGTTCTAGATGTTACGATGTGATATGTGTAGCGTTTCCATGTTCCTTTGCTGGGCTATGACTTACGGTCCAACGCCTTTAGAAAACCTCACACACACTACTCCCTCTTCTCCTCCCCTGTCTCGCCTACCTTACGCTCCTCCTCCTCCTCCTCCTCCTCCTCCTCCTCCTCTTCCTCCTCCTCCTCACTCCTCACTCCTCCTCCTCCTCCCTCCTCCTCCTCCTCCTCCTCCTCCTCCTCCTCCTCCTCCTCCTCCTCCTCCTCCTCCTCCTCCCTCTTCTCCTCCTCCTCCTCCTCCTCCTCCTCCTCCTCCTCCTCCTCCTCCTCCTCCTCGCAGCCCCGGAGGGGCACCCCCATAAGCGGGGGTGTCGGGCCAAAGCGCCCCCTGGCGGAGGCGGGGACCGCCGGGCCTTCGGGGGAACAGCCCCCGCGCCCGGGACGGCCCCCAAAGCGGGGTCCCCTTCCCGGGGCGCCCCCGGCCACGCAGCCTCCCACGGGAGCCTGGCTACCCAGCCAGGTGTCCCCCGTGGGAGTCGTGGCTGGGGGGTGCCTTCTCCCCGTCGTGTCGTCGCCATCGCTGTCGTCGTCTGTCGTGTCGTGGCGGGCCCCTGGGGTGGGTGGTGTGGGTTTGGTGGTGGCCTGGCCCCTCCCCGTTCTGTCGGCTGCCGGGTGTTTCCGGCTGGGCTGGTTTCCGGCCGACAGAACGCGGGGGGGGAGCTGGCCAGCCATCCCCATGCTGCCCGCTTGCGGGGGGCCCGCCGGCGCCGCGCGCCGCCCCCGCGCCGCGAGCGCCCCGCGGCCCGGCCGCGCCCGCGGGCGCCCGGCCGCGGCGGCGCGCGCATTCAGTGCTGCGCACTCCCACGTCCGCGGGCACTTCCATTCCTCTCTTCTCGCTCCTCGCTCCTCACTCCTATTAATCGTTCGTTATCCTCCCACATCCTCCTCCCTCCTGCTCGCCCTCCTCCTGTCCCCCCTCCTTCCTCCTGCTCTCGTCTGCCACTGTTCCCCGGCTCATCATCAGTTTCTCATTATTTGTTCTTCTTCGTTGTATCGTCTTCTTCGTCTTCTTTGTCTTATCCATTGTTGGTATTATTATCAGTAGTATTATTATCACTGTTCTTCTTCGTCTTATCTATGTATCCTGCTCCGAATCCTGCGGCGCGGCACGCCGCTGCCGCCGCGCGCTCCCCCCCCGCCAAGGCGGCCGCCGAAACCGCGCCTGCGCGCATGACAAATGCGTTCCAAAGGCACGCGTGTACGACGCGCGTTCGAAGGCCCTACGGCTACCCATCGGTCGTTGAAAGTAGGTATTTCTGGAGTCCCAGGTTCCAATCTACTTTAAGCGCCTTCCTACTTCAATGATCGAGTGGCTTCACCTTCTCCGTCCTCTCTAGGAGGCACGCGTGCACGACGCGCGTTCGAAGGCCCTACAGTTACCCATCGGTCGTCCCGAGGCACGCTGCAGCTCGATCCGATCGATCTCGTGATCCGAGGCCGATGGGCCCTCTCCTCGATGTATCGAGCCTTCTCCGGTCTTCTTCCATCCTCGATTCTCGAGCATCCTGCTCGATCCTCCTCCTTCTCCTCCTCCACGCCCAGCGCTGCTCGGGCTCTCCTGGAGTCCCAGATTCCAATCTACTGTAAGCGCCATCCTACTTCAATGATCGAGTGGCTTCACCTTCTCCGTCCTCTTTACGAGGCGGGCGGACACCCAATCTACGTTCAACGCCTTCCTACTTCACGTTTCTACCTACTTCGTCTGACCGATGGGTAAGTCGGGCGTGTCCTTCTATAGGAGGAGTATTCAAAAATAGTCGAAGAATTGTCTGGAGCAGTTCCTTTTACTATGTTTGAGCATGTTTGAGTGTTCGGGGGTATGTTTTATTTCTCGACCAGAATCCGCCTGTAGGGGGAAAAGCCCGCCCTAACAATACAGTGGAGGCCCATGCCAAGAAACACCCTGCTTGCCACCAGGGTGCCCTGAGTTTGTTTGGTTTCAGTGGTTTTGCGATGGAGAGCGCGACGTGCCCACACCAAAACCAAATGGACGCCCTGGGGTCTCAGGGTTGGGTTTCTTGTGGGCGGGCCCCTACTCTGCCCCTCCTCCATCACCAAAAGACTTGCGAAGAAGGCGCCAGCCACGCGCAGAGATCGTCGATATCCCTCTTTTGCATCTTCTCGAACATATGAACCCGCCGGCCACACGTGCAATGCCCCGCTGACGCCGACGCACATGAAAACGCGTGCCCGACGCAAGTTCGGTACTTCCCCTTCGGGCACGAGCTTCCATTGAAGAACGCACCGGCCGCATGCAGAGCATGTTCGGTACGCACGTCGAAACCGCCAGCCGCATGTTCGATGCCCATCGCCGGCGCCGACGCGCGCGAAAGCACGTGCGAAGCGTACGCGTGCTAGACGCATATCTAACGCGTCGAGACCCCATTTCGGGCATGTATTCTCACGCGTGGCGAACCCGCTAGCCGCATGTCCGATGCCCCCCTTCGGCGCCAACACACG